ATTTTGATAAGCTTTCTGTATAAAACAGGTTCTTGTTCAACGTGCGCTAGGGGCAAAGAACAATCTTCACGCGAAAGCAGGCTCTCTTCTTGCCGGTATACTCAAGATTACTCCCATGTTTCTGATTGTCATGCCTGGCATGATCAGTAGAGTCCTGTTTCCTGAYTCCATTGCTTGTGCGGACAAGGAAAGCTGTTTACATTACTGCGRTAACAAATGGGGATGTACCAACAATGCTTATCCCAAGTAAGTAAATAAGGTACTGTGCTCTTGCCCTCTGACTCTGATACACATGCTCATAATGATTGTTGGTCATTGGCCAATCACCTATAGTAGCGCATAATAAATGATAATGRAAATTGTAGGACGCTAACGCCTAAGATATGAAGYTATTGCTGGCCATTCTAAAATCAGTAGCTGCTTCGCATATATTTTGCTAAACCATGATWAAAATTGTAGTATACCGACCGTCATGAATGTTGAGGTAGTRAGTATGAGTGAATATATAGAGGGCCACAAGTTTATTAGTCTAAGGACTATTACGTGCTACCCTCTCAAAACAAAAGACTTTATTTTATTTATGATAAAWGAAGAAATAACTTCAGCCCTTGGCCTGTTACAAACTACCTGGAATCCRGAATCCGCAAAAGTTTGGCTCCGGATTTCGGAATCAGTGCCATGGTAACGKAATCCGGTAATACAAGAGGAATCCGCAATCTCATAAACTTACTTCAAATGTTTCCTGAAGAAAAGCTAAGATTCTTTGTATCCAGAATCCATAACAGTGAGGGTCCAGAATCCTTGCGAACTTTTTCATGCGAACTGGAATCCAGGATCTTATATATCCGGAATGCAGGAACTCTCCGACCAGGCCTCCGTCTACGCATTCTTTCATGGATGAGAAAAAAAATTTAAAAGATGATGTATGAAACATTCGAAGGAGACGCAAAGGTTCACTTATATAAGTTCAATTCTTCCGCCGGAAGACTCCTTCGTTTAACTGTAATAAATATAATAATTGATCAAAAGATTCATATTCTTTTCAGACTTGTGCTAAACATCTTACCAAGGGGTCTAGTCGGTCTCATGATGGCAGTCATGATGGCTGCTTTAATGTCATCCCTGTCTTCAGCCTTCAACAGCAGTGCTACTATATTCACCGTTGATGTTTGGGTTTTGTTAAGACCAAAGGTACTGTATACGACTAGCAACAGAGGAGTTTATACAAGTCGTTGAATCGATCATGGGTAGTCAGTACAAGATTACTAGAAGAGGCAAWGGCGGGGAAAGAGATACTTTTTTCGCTRTTTTTCCATTCTGAGGTAAATTTGCGGGACTAAACTTTTATAGTTGATGGAGATACCTATTCAATGTATTCTGGTGTTCTTGAGCCAATTGAACCACATATTTACTGATTATTAGAAGGACGGAGGCAGTAGATTTGCGAGGATAAGACTCGATGGTAATAGTTCAATTTGATTATTGAAAAAAACCATGCCCAAGCAAGAATGACCCGATCGGCTCAGAAGAAGCCACAAAACACTGAACAGTCGATTATCAASACAGAAACGAAATATTGCGAAAAACCATAGTTAATCGAGGATTAACTATGGAAAACGTATCTCTTTCCMCATCGCCTCTTAGCTAAATCTTTTCCTGGTTACTCATGATTCAACGACTTGTGTAAACTTCTCAACTGGCGACGTAATAATGTATTCGCGGTTGCCTGGTTTACGCGCGTCAAGATTTCGACATTTTCCCGCCTTTTTTCAGCTCACTGCGCTATTGTTCATATTTTTTCTTCTACAATCAAGATATGATAAAAAATGTATCTTTTGATGCTCTCAGAGAATATACAACAACAAAAACAACAACTAACAAACAATGCAATCGATTTTGCATTAATTTTCGAAGCACTTCCTTTTAAACAAATCTGAAGAGTGAGGATGCATATATTGTACATCAAGTGGATCAGTTATCCTGCTAATATTATATATTAACTTTTACCAGTAATTATCATAGTTATGATCATTAACAATAATTTAACAGGCATCGGATCGGGAAAAGGTTATTGTTGGCCGAGTTATAGTGGCTTTGCTTGTTGGACTGGGTATATGCTGGTTACCCATCATCCAAGGTGACTAGTGACGTCGTTTATCATATAGCTTATCGTTTTCACGTTTTTCACATTAAAAACTCTCAAAACAATATATAGTGTAAACGAATAAAGTTAATTGTCCTTTAGCAGCATATTGGAAAGGATGATGAGAAGTTTCAATTGAAGCCTTGTTGCTGTAAAGTTGTGAAATAATATAGTGTGAATGCAACTCACTCTTCCCTCCCCCCATAGGTGCCCAAGGTAGTCAGTTATTCGTGTACATTCAGACGATACTATCTTACTTGGCTCCTCAAATGACCATGACGTTTGGTCTGGCTATACTGTGGCCTGGTTTGACTAAGGCTGGTGCATTATCTGGACTTATCATCGGTCTTATCATGGGACTAATAAAGTTTATATTTGGCARCATCTATCCTCCYCCTGRKTGTGGATCAGTGGACTATAGACCCTCATTTGTCAAACTACATTTCTTGTGGTATGGTAAGTGATAGCCAATAAAATTCACTACTGCAAATGCAATTATACATTACAATTGTGTTTTGCATGGCTATTGTCTGTGACGAATAGATTTTTTATGACTCATCATGATTTTAAAATGCCTCTTTCAGTTTCCCTTTTAGCGCTTTTTGTCTTTTTTGAGTCCAAAAAGTTTAACTTTAACTCCAAGGAAGAATTTTGATTCAGTAAATTCTAGTTACAAATAGAAAATTAAATGTTATTGACAGTTGTAAATTGGACTTTGTTCAGAATTGGAAAGAAATCAAAAGTATGATACATGAAAGTGACTTTGTTGTTATCTTTATCTCTATACAACAAAACAACAATCAGAGGGATTGATTGTACATTTTTATAATCCGACATAAAGATATATCAAATAGATTGTACACTGGTCCACTGTAAAATGAAACAAATTTTGTGCACAATTTTTCTTAGCGGTAACCACTGYAAAATGAAACGAATTTTTGCGCACAATTTTTGTTTAACGGTAAGTAATTGTTATCACGAATTGCATCAAAATATTGYCAGACTATGCACAGATCAATGAGAGTAGGCACCTACCCATCGAAGAGTCAAGCCTTATTTAGAACTATAAAACGGCGCGCGTGTCTCTGTTTTCTAACACAGTGGAAATTGAAAAACACGAGAGAAGCAAGCTTAGAAACACGAGCGTAGCGAGTGCTTTTCAACTCCTACAGTGTTTATATCAGAGAACAGAGACACGCGCGCCGTTTTATTGTTATTTTACAATAAACGTTTTCTGCGTTTTTCGAGCGAAAGACAAATTTTGCCGGTAAGCCATGTCTCTGTCCTCTGATATAATGTACACGATCGTCAGCCAATCAGAGCGCGCGTTATATATCAAAAATGTTATAAATTGTATTACTGTTGTTCACAGCATTGGTTATATTTGGTGTGTGCGGCATTGTTGAGGTGGTTGTCAGCATGTTCACAAGTAAAGTTCCACGTGAAGAGTTAGGTGGGTTGACWTGGCCAACCATCAATGACCGTCCAATATCACATGGAGCCATAGGTGAAGAGGGATTATCATCTSMTYMTG